CAAAATCTCTCATTTTTTTAGATGGGATAAATCTTAAGAGATGTTTCGGAGTAACACACGGCGGCAAGTTTTTATTAATCGCGGGTACCGCCGATAGACCCACGTCAATGCCGAAAATTCACCATTTGTCGCTACCGAAAAGAGATGATTCACTAATACTGTGCTCAAGCCCATCTCCAATCTCCTCTCATCTTCTTCGTGCAAATCATGAAATACAGAGGTATGTTGTGTAATCAATTTGTTCGTATGTGTAATTTTCTCACAAGTAAACACCTTCAAGCTGTGATTTGTTTTTCTGATTCATGATATTGTTGTGTTTATGCAAAATTTTTGTCCATATAAGTAAAAATAGGTTGCGTCTGATTCTAAATTTCTAAGAACCGAACTAGGTTTTTGGCGTGAAGAAGATGGAGAATTGAGAGAAAATGATGTGGAGACAGTGAGGAGGAAAAATGCATAATTATGCACTTTTCTCTGGGCTCCATAATTAGCTCCCAATTGCCCCAATTTCTCTGGGCTCAATAGCTGCGCCGGTTATGAATTTTTACCAATGAGCAGGTTACCGAGTTTGTGGGCATCCGTTTTTATGTTGTTTTTACGCTATTTTTGTGTTGCTTTTAGGTTATTTTTATGTTTCTTGAAAATGTTTTATTGTTAATTTTTTTATATTAATTTCTTCTTGAAAGATGTTTTTCTTTATGTTACGATGTCAAAGGAAAAACTACAGGAACTTACCAAGAGTGATTAGTTAGTGTGACAATGGTTTCTGAATGATTCGGTCTTCTGTTTAACTTTTCTTTTGTTTTCGATTTTTTTTTCCTTTTAATCTGATTTAATTATTATGTACATAACCAATTGATTAATTTTTTTTTTTGTTGGTTTATTTCTTTAGGCATTCAAGAAGAAGAATTTAAGAAGAAGAAAGAGATAAGTGCAGAAGAGAAAAAAAAATAACGAGAAGTGTGGGAATTAGAAGGAAGAGAGAGAAAGAGGGAAGTTAAAATTTTGAATCACTGTAACTCCTTGTTGGAGTATTTTTGACTCTTTGTTGGAGTAATTTTGAAATTCAATATATTTAAGCATTTTTATGGAATTCTTTTTCATAACTAGGTTAGTTATGTATTTTTCCCTTTTTAAGCAGTTCCATAGAACACACACTAATTGGGCCTAAAAAGCCCTAAGCGAAGAAGTAAAAGTAGTCTGCTGAAAAAAAAAAAAAAAAAAAAAAAAAAAAAAAAAAAGAAGTAAAAGTAGTCAAGACCCATGAGCACTACTGGGCTTGCTTGACGGCCCCGTTCACGAATCCTATAAAGCAGCATATCTATATAAGTCGTGCCAAAGTCACGACCCAAACCCTAATCTTGTTACAGGGGCC